GCTACAGTGCCGCACAACATCCTGTACGCCACCGGCCTACCGCCGGAAATCACTCAAGTTATGCTGTCAAAGCTGTTCGAGCAGTACCCGGGGTTCTCAGAGGTAAATCACGAGACGGAGAGGGGGCGGGGGGGAGTTGTATATACGCGGAAAAGCGGAGTGCCTTTTCTACCGCCTCCACCTCCTCGGAGCTTTACACGTAAGCCACTCCACACGACCTCGAAACAAAGAAGTAGCCCAGCCCTCATGGAGACATGAAGCGGGTGTATAATATTTTGTAGATGGCGGTGAGTGTTCCGTGGAGAGCGGCGTTGCCTTGATCCCCTTTGGTGGAGAATGACTCCACCGACAAACAGACCCTTGGCCATGACATGGCGCGGCCTGCCTTTCGCCTCTCTTGTTCAACGCGAGTATCTGCTGCTGCTGCTGCTGCCACGTTCCGCCGCGCAACTGACGTGACTGATTTGTACCCAAAATCGGCGTGTGTGTGGTCCTCCTGCTTGCTTTTTTGTCTATCCTTTCGCGGAACAAATGGAATGGTTCTGTCCAGGCACGGATGGCACCGGGAGGCCAGGCTTTCATCGAATTTGCGGACCAGATGCAGGTGAGATGATGATGACTCAAAGAGAGAGAAAGATGCAGGAGACGTATGTATGGCGGGGGCAGAGTCAGGGGGGGGGGCGCCCAAAGCAGTGTATTTGGGGCGACAACAGTGCAGACTACAGCAGTATCGCCACGCTTGCCCCCGAAAGAAGGGCTGCAAGTAGCACCCTGGACAAATTAGCTACTGAGCGTGCGATTTTGGTGGCGCGGGTTGTGATAGTACCGCGACGACAAGTTTCCGACAGGGCAGTGAGCTTGTCGTGTCTGAGCGATCGTTACCGATTGGCTGCGGTGTTTTGTACTATACGAGGATGTCAAGTGCGTTATATGTACAAGGCAAACACTGATGTTGGTGCCGTTGACTTTCCACATGTATGGGCTTTCGCTCTTGACGGGATGCCCCTTTTGTTCTTTTTTTCGTGTTCTTTTTTCCGCTCATTTCGAAAGCTCTGTCAAGCAACATAAAACAGACAACAGAAAATGTTTCGCTATTTCGCATTGCATCGCTGAACCTCTCCTCCCTCCCCTCCCCGTTCCACCGTTGTTTCACGACCCGGTTTAGCTTTGCTTTGGTGTTCCGACTCTCTCTCACCCAATGGCGTCCGTGCACTCGACTCACTCCCGCGCATGTTTTTGTGTGTTTCCATTTCGCTCTGTTGTCTATCAATATCAGGCCGGCATCGCCCTGAACGCTTTGAACGGCTTCAAGCTCTCGGCAACAAACCCCCTCCAACTAGCCTTCGCGCGCAAGGCGTGAAAGCGGCATGGTGGATGGGAGAGGGAAGAGCAAGAAGAGACGAAGAGAGAGAAGCAGATGGGCAAGGGGCGTCGGCTCCGCCCCCGTCCATCGCTCCATCCGTTCCACTGGCCAAGCCATATTTTCCGTTTGCATTCCGTGCAGACTCGCGCGCGTGTGTTGTCAACCACCTGTGACTGTCTGTCCTTGTTCTGGATGTAGCCGTATCGTAGGACGGGGAACGGAAGAACAACAACGGGAAGGAAGTCAGCCAACGATAAAATCCACGGACAGACACGAGCAGCTTTTGTGGGGGCATATAGCTGACCTCAGGGGAAGACGGCGTGCTATTGCTTGGTTGTTGAGGGGGGCGATCTCAAGCCTCGCGGTTGCGCGGGAGCATCTCGTAGAATAGTAGTGGAGGGGTGGCCTAAGCCTATTAACTGTGGTTTTGCAGCAGCAGCAGCGCGTAGAGGAATGGTAGCAGGCTTTGGCTTCCCCTCGCACTCGTGGCTCTGCTGGTTTTAGGTGTGTGGGCTGGGGCAGGCTTTTTGGTGCTGCTGGTTGCTGGTTGCTCACGTGGTCGAGAAGGGATTGTTGGGGGGCAGAGTAGACTTGTTGTTGGCCTCGGCTTAAGATGGCCCTTGCTCCTGACGGTCGGTCGGCCTGTCTAGTGCTACACAGAATGAACAAGGCAGAAACCGTTCACGCACGCGGAGGGGGGTTGGTACATGGAACGATGGGCTGTTACTAATAGTGATGGGGTGACGTTTGAGACGCGCACAAGACGATGTGATTGATTGCCCACTACTGTTCGGGACGTAGCTATAAGATATTGTAATGGATTGCGTGCGACAAGATCCTTTTCTGTGTTTGGGAACGCTTTATGCACGTATGGAGGATAGGAGGAAGGAGCGCTCGGGACGGTGGACAGAGCAGTGGGTGTGGTTTTCGGCGGAAACTATAAATCCGCGTCTCCCCCCTCCTAAACATCGAGGGGGAAGCTGCTGCTTGTCGCTATCTGTTTAGTCTTCCGGACGGAGACGACACGGCTGTTGGTTCAAGACATTTTTTACTCTCTTATACACCCATATGTCTTTTCTGAGAGTGCGTTCGAGGATTGGACCCCCTGTGATGCCCAATAAGGAAGGGTGGAGTCATTCGAAAACGATGCGAGAGGGGTGGGTGGGAGGGTAGGGAAAGTATACCAGTAGCAGACCCCTCAGCCAGAAGGCCCTTCGAAGTACATGGACCCCAATCCCTCTCTTCAAACGAAGACGTCGGTTGTCGCACTTTGACTCTCTTGACTGACGAATGGTCACTCACCAAATGCCCACACTAAAACTAGTATATCCCCCCCAAGAGACGCATCGGCAAGCTCTCAAGAGAAGGATAACCGACATCTTCATCTTTTAGCTTTTCAAAGAGGGTTTGCTCGCTCGTTGTGCGCTCCTGCTGCACGCTGTACCGTGCCATCAGATCGTCCGGGCCGGCCTCTGAAAGAAGGGCGCCTGCGTAGGACGTGGAAAACAATCACACGTGTCCGTTGGACGAGGGAGATTCCAACAACATTTCACCTTCCCTCTGGAGGAAGTCTCTCCTCGCCTCCGACAACAACGTTTTGGGGCGAAAATATGAAGGGAGAGGGGGGGCCGAAGATCCACAACGGGGTAGCAGAAAACAGAAACATAGAAGAGGAAAACGTCACTGTAGATCGGAGCGAGGCGGGAGAGAGATATTTTGCGGGGCATATACATCGGATCGTTGAACCGACGCCGGTAGCCAGGAGCACGCCAGAGGAGAAGGGCCCACATGTTGCCGGTACCTTTCCTAATACGCGTTCGACAGCTGTAGTACGAAAGATGCCATGTTTTCCTAGACTGAAACGGGCGGAGGCAGACGGGGGGGGTGGTTCAAGGATGTTGGTGCCGGAACATGGATGAGAGAGAGAGATGTCTCTACCAAGAGTCCACGCACCCATCCAAAATCTGTAACCCGCTCCTGTACCCCCGGGCCATCATATATTTCGACAATGAATCAATCCGTTTTCCAAATATTTTTATATGCTCTTGCGATGGATCCGCCTCACCCTCCCTCCGGGGGGCCCGGGGGTTCGCAATCGCCCTTTGGGCAGGGTCCGTCCAAAGCAGTCGCGACAACGAAAACAACACCAACAATACGGCGACCAACACCAACACGAACACCACCATCAACAACAACAACATCAACAACCGGGAAATAGCAGCAAAAATGTTGCAAACAGAGGGAAGAAAGAGGGGGGGGAGTACACACACACCCCGCAATAAACAACAAGGAAGGAAGACTGCCACTCTACCCTTCCTCGCTCGCGCAAATACGCATCCCCGAGCGTTGTACCCGTCGAGGTGACCGCAGAACATGACGCCAAACAAGCGCTGGGGATAACTTTAACACGTGGCGGGCCAAGGGGTGGGTGGCGTTCTTTCCCTTTACACACAACGATAACAACAACAACGACGACAATAACAACAACAACAACAACAATGACGACAAACAACAAGAGGAATACACACACACACACGCACACACACACACACACACACAAAAGCGAATCACTCCACGAGCCAGACCAGCTGATGGCCGCCAATGACGGAAACGCCATTCGCGCAGCGAACGTGCGGTCCGTAAAAAAACAAGGAAGATCGTGCTACGCATGGTGCGTACCACCCACAACCAAATCCCGTACCCCCCCCTCCCCCCCCCGCCCACCCGCCCCGTACAACCAACTGAAATGGACGCAAGTATTGTGTAGCGCCCCCGTCTCTCTCGGAAGTACGAACATTAGCCAGGCTAGGGAGAATGCTGCTAATATTACTTTTATAATTTCGGTGCTAACGAGGTGTGTGGACCATATATAGCATGTATCACACGACAGGAACAAAACAGAAGAGAAAAATGACAACATCACGAAAGGGCGGTGGCATCAGGCAAAGCAGGGCACGCGAAAGCCCGATGGGCCTACATCGGACGGATCGATCCGGATACACCTGCAAACGAGCTTTTTTCTGAACAAGGACGACCCGCAACACCAGCTCGTGAAGGGAACTCGGTACCTAAGAGGACAAACACGCCACCTGTCTCCATGCATGTGCACGTGCATTCACACCCAACATGCAACGGTTTAGGCACGCAGCATGCAAGTACTGGTACGGTAGGACAACAGCACGGACCGTCACAAGACAAGGCCCACCGGCCAGTCGAGCGCCCCCAACGGCTATACATCATCCCCATGTACATGTACATCTGGGCACCCTTTTTCTAAGCACCAGGTAGCCTAAACCACCATGCTCTTATCTATAAATCTCCAACTAAATTCCCCCCCCCCCAAAAAAAGAAGACAACATGTGACGACGACGACTCTTCTTGGTCACTGGGACTGGTTGGGGCTGTTGACAACGCACAGCAGTAAGGACTGCCACAGCTGAAACAAAGAAAAGAGCAGTGCTACTCTCCGTCTCCCGGTGCACGCGGTGATGCTGCTTTGACGCGACCAAAGCACCGCCGCCAACCCCGTCGATCGCTCAAACAGCACTCGTGCCTCTCTCTCTCTCTCTCTCGCCCTCAACAACTTCGGCTCTATCTCAAGAACACACAGCAGTCCTGCCGTTTCCCTCCTGCCATCCCCTTGCCAACAACACTCACCACGGTAAAACCTAGAAACGGGCGATGCTAAATAAAAACCTCATCTACACGACAGGAAACGACGTAATCCCTCGTTTGGCCCCCGCGCCCCCCCCCCCCCCCCCCCCCAAATTTTGAATCTCCAAAGGGA